GTTAGGACATGGGAGTGAAAGTGCAGGGAACAGATCCTGCCTCTGTGTCCTAGAGTATAAAGTTTTCATTTTCCTTCATCTTTTCGGAAGCGCTCATACCTGCTTTCCTAGAAATGAGAGCATTCCTTTCGATGCCATCGTCTGTTGCTCTCGGTTTCTGGAGCACAGCTTTATTAGGCCAGTGTTTCACAAGGATGGCTTTTTCATTTCATTTCCTCTCTGTCCCTTCGCCCTTTACTGCTCTGAAGAGAGATAATGAAAACCATCTGACTTGTTTCCCCAAGACTCTTACTTTTGACACCCTCCCCAGGCACTACTTTCAAGCAATTATAAGGTAAAGGAGAAGAGAGAAAAAAGGGAAGGACTTGCTTTATCTAATTCAGCCATTAAATTCTTTCCCCTTCCAGTAAAAATTCTGAACAACTCCGTGACTCTGAGTACATCTAAGAAAATCGGGACAACGCTGGGAAGCTCAAAGAATAGTTGATAGCATTCCCTAAACGAGATCAAATATCTTGAAATAAAAGTTTAGTTATTAAGTTTACTCCCCAAAGGGGAGGTCTTCAAATATTTGCTGAGTGGAAAAAACAAATAAATGAGGTTGAATCTTTCCTTATTGGCAAGGTCCAAATGCCAATGAAAGTAGTTCACTCTACAGAAGTTTGTTACAGTCTTAAAGAGAACGATAGAGTGTGGATGTGTTTACGTGCAACTCTGATACCAAAATTTTACTTTTTATTTATTCATTTATGTATTTATCTTTGATGGAGGGGCTGGTGTTTAAGAACAAACACTGCTCTATAAATATATAAGCACTGGGAATGTCTTCCCCTGTGCTGGGGTTCTGATAAAAAAGGCACAGAACCAACACAGGGGTACCTCACTTTCGAGGACTACTACTCATGAAAATCCAGATATCTAAAACATATTAGAGGTGACTATTTGCTTAATAAAGAATTTATAGCAAACAGGGTAAACTCCTGATGCACATTTAAAGTACTGTAACTATGGACAATGATTACCTTGGCTAATGGACCTGGGAATTAGCCTAACATGGAGAAAGGCTTCCATAATCTACTGCTTTTTTTCCTGAACTGTTGAGATCTTTCAGATAAGTATTGTTATTGTTCACAGAACTTTTTTTTTTTTTTGAGAGAGAGTGAGCATGTGAGCCAGGGACAGGGGCAGAAGGGAGGAGAGAGAGAGAGGGAGAGACAGAGAGACAGAGAATCTTAAGCAGGTTCCATGCTCAGCCCAGAGCCTGACACAGGGCTCAATCCCATAAACGCTGGAATAAGGCCTGAGCTGAAATTAACAGTTGGATATTTAACCGACTGAGCCACCCAGGTGCCCGTATTGACACACTTTTAAAGTTGAAGTGAAAAAAATGAAAACAAATGGATTTCACAAAGAATTTTACACATTCACAGAAAACCTACTGTGTACGTCAACCTAGGGTAACTTTATGAGGTCCTATATTCTTTCAGAATTACCAATATAATAAACTCTGAAACAAAGAATGGGAATTTACAGCTGTTTGGAAAAGTACGTGGCGGGGGGGGGACATAAAAATCACCTATAGCTCCACCCCCTCTAACAGCAGCAAACACAGCAGGGGGTGAGTATGCGCCAGACATATACACTGCCAAACACCTGCTGCAAATTGCTTTCTTTACTCCACACAGCACGTTAGAGTCAGTGGACAAACACAGTGGTCACCTGATACTGTAAGGAAGAATCTTCAATTACCACATATTATTCCAGGATATGACTATACCATAATTTATTCTACCAGTCCTTTATCTCTGGGCATTCAGGCTGCTTCCAATTTTTCACTACTATAATTAACATGATAATGCTACCTTTGCACATAAATCTGTAATCAACCCTAATTTTTCTCTTAGAATAAATTCTTAGGGGGGAAAAAAAAGAATAAATTCTTAGGGGGCACCTGGGTGGCTCAGTGGGTTGAGTATCCAACTTGAGCTCAAGTAATGATCTCATGGTTCATGAGTTCGAGCCCTGAGTCAGGCTCGTGGCTGTTAGCACAGAACCCGCTTTGGATCCTCTGTCTCCCTCTCTCTCTGCTCCTCCCCTGCTTGTGCTCTCTCTCTCAAAAATAAATAAACCTTTAAAAAAAAAAAAAAAAAAGAATAAATTCTTAGAAGTGGAATCCCCTTGGTTAAAAGTTATGAACAGTTAAAACTTTTGAAGAAAATTTCCAAAATACCCTCTACCAGAATGGACGCTGACGTAGCCTCCCACAGAAATACATGAAGACCCTTCCCCAAACTCCACAGCAACGGGAGGTATTTTGGGTTTAGTCTTTGATTCCTAATATGGTTAGAAATGTTCTCCATGTTTACTGAACATTGTATTCTTTCTTTTTCAACTCATTTCAATAAGCTATTTGATGGAATTAACATAGTAGCTTAAAGAGTATCAGTTGGAATCCGACCTGGGTGGGGGCTTTACGTCTCCAGGCCCGTGTCCCATCTGGGCAGTGAGGATCATGGCACTTATCTTGGCAGGTTTCTAGAGGGATTCAACAGGAGCACGGGCAGGATTTAGCACAGGGTTTATGGCTTACTTAAGTACATAGTAAACCCTCAGTACGTATCATCTATCACTAATTCTCATTAACAAATATTTGTTGACTACTACAAAGTGGGAGGCACTAAGCTAGGCACTGAGATACTACATTGAACAAGGCAGACATAGCCCCAGCCGTCACGAAGTTTATGGCCTATTGGGAATTTACCTCTTTTTTTTTCTTTAATTTTTATTTTTTGTGTTGTGTTTGTCTTACTTTCTTTCTGATGCATTAGCGTTCTTTCCATATTATGGCTATTAACCTTTTGCCACAGACAGCAAATACACTCCCTGTTAGTTTCTCCATGTTGTGAAGTTGCTTCAGTGAAGTTGCTTCATAACTTACACTTATGAACCTTTATCTAAGAGGAAGAGACAGCTAAGGTAAATGAACCTAACTAAAATAAGAAAGGTCAACTCACACGTAACCTCACTGCTGGGAGGCACAAGAGAGTGTAGAGGAGGTGGTGTCTGAGAGCCC